CCCAGCAGCGGAGCTGTCTTGAGGGCATCTTTGGGTGAGAGGAGAGCTCCCCCTGCCTAACAAAGACCACAGCTACTACTCAGGTCTATACACCTGAGGTGAGCAGTCCCAATACCTGAGAAACACTGGCCATACAGTGACTATACCCAAAAAAGCAGAGGAGGCCTCCTTCAGGAAAAATCATCTTACGGCCAAGGGGATTCTCCCTACCTCAGGACTCCAGGAAGCACAGAAACTAACAGCCAACACCTAAAACAGCCCAATGGGTAGAGGTCAGTGTAAAAGCTCAACCAACAAAAGACAGCCAATATGGCATCTCCAGAACCCAGCCATCCAAGTGCAAGCAGGCAAGACAACCCAACATAATAGAAAAACAAGAAGATGACCTTACATCTATGCTGATGAAGAGGATAATAGAGGAAACAAATAAAATACGTAAAGAATTAGACGAAGATAAAACCAAAGAGATCATGACTATCCATAAAGAAATGGAGGAAGTTAAAGACAAGCAGATTATGGCCATCCAGGAGGAAATACGGGAAGATGCAGCCAAACAGCTTGTGGCCTTCAGAGAATAAATAATAAAATCACTGAAAGAAATAAAAGAAACAGAGTTGAAGGAACTAAAAGAGAAACAGAAAAATACAATAGGACAGGTGAAGGAAGTAAACAAAACAGCTCAGGACCTGAAGATAGAACTAGAAAAATTAAAGAAAACACAACTGGAGTAAATAATGGAGAGGAAGAATTTAGGGAAGAAAACAGGAACTACAGAGGTAAGCATAATTAACAGACTACAAGAGATGGAAGAAAGAATATCAGGTGTAAAAGATACAATGGAAGAAATCGATGTATCTGTCAAATAAAATGTTAAATCCAAAAAAATTCCTGACACAGACCGTCCAAGAAATCCAATACAATATAAAAAGACAAAACCTAAGAATAATAGGAATAGAGGAAAAAGAAGATTCCCTTCTCCAAGGCCCAGAAAATATTTTCAACAAAATCATTGAAGAAAATTTCCCTAGTTAAAGGAGAGTCCAATAAGAATACATGAGTCCTACAGAACACCCAACAAATTTGACCAGAAAAGAAAATCCTTCCGCCACATAATAATCAAAACAGTAAGTATACAGAACAAAGAAAAAAATACTAAAAGCCGCAAGGGAAAAAGGCCAAGTAACTTATAATGGCAAACCCACTAGAATCATACCAGACTTTTCAACAGAGAGTATGAAAGCCAGAAGGGGTTGGATGGATATCATGCAGACCCTCAGAGAACACAGATATCAACCCAGGCAACTACACTCCGCAAAACTCTCAGTCCTCATAGACGGAGAAACAAGATATTCAATGACAAAAACAAATTTCAACAATACCTACAAACAAATCCAGCATTACAGAAGACACTGGAAGGGAAAATACAACCCAAGAAAATTAGCTACTTTCAAGAAAACACAGGAAATAATTAACCTTACTACAGTAAAACAAAAAACAACCAAGCACACAAACCATATGACCACAGCCAACATCAAAATCAAAAGATCTAACAGCCAATGGTCATTAATCTCTCTCAACATCAATGGACTCAACTCTCCAGTAAAAAGACACAGATGCTGAAAAAGCATTTGAAAAAATCCAACATTCATTCATGTTTAAAGTATTGGAGAGATCAGGGATACAAGGCACATATCTAAACATAGTAAAGGTGATATACAGCAAGCCTATAGCCAACATCAAACTGAACGGAGAGAAACTTAAAGCAATCCCACTGAAATCAGGGACAAGACAAGGCTGCCCACTTTCTCCATATCTCTTCAACATAGTTCTGGAAGTCCTTGCTAGACCAATAAGACAGTTGAAGGAGATCAAGGGGATACAAATTGGGAAGGAAGAAGTCAAATTATCACTAATAGCAGATGATATTATAGTATACATGAGTGACCCCCAAAACTCTACCAGGGAATTCCTAGAGCTGATAAACACCTTCAGCAATGTGGCCGGATACAAAATTAACTCAAAAAAATCAGTAGCCCTCCTGTATACAAAAGAAGAAAGGGCTGAGAAAGAAATTAGGGAAACAACACCCTTCACAATAACCACAAATGACATAAAGTACCTTAGTGTAACCCTAACCAAGCAAGTCAAAGACTTGTATGAAAAAAAATTCAAGTCTCTGAAGAAAGAATTAGAAGAAGATATCAGAAGATGGAAAGATCTCCCATGCTCAAGGCTTGGCAGAATTATCATAGTACAAATGGCCATTTTACCAAAAGCAATCTACAGATTTAATGCAATCCCCATAAAATTGCCAACACAATACTTTACAGACCTGGAAAGAAAAATTCTCAACTTCATATGAAATAACAAGAAACCCAGAATTGCTAAAACAATCCTCTACAATAAAAGATCTTCTGGAGGTATCTCCATCCCTGATCTTAAGCTGTACTATAGAGCAACAGTTATAAAAACTGCATGGTGCTGGCATAGAAACAGAATGGTGGATCAATGGAACCGAACAGAAGACCCTGAAATAAATCCACACAAAAATGGACAACTGATCTTTGATAAAGATGCCACAACCACAAATGGAAAAAAGATAGCATCTTCTACAAATGGTGCTGATCTAACTGGATATCTACACGTAGAAAAATGCAAATAGATCCATACTTATCACCCTGTACAACACTGAAGTCCAAGTTGATCAAAGACCTCAAGATAAAACCAGACACATTTAATCAGTTAGAATAAAAAGTGGGAAAGACCCTAGCACTCATTGGCACAGGGGACAACTTGCTGAACGTAACATCAACAGCACAAGCTCTAAGAGCAACAATCAATAAATGGGACCTCATGAAACTGAAAAGGGTCTATAAATCAAAGGACACTGTCATCAAAACAAAACAACTGCTTACAGACTGGGAAAGAATCTTCACCAACCCTTTATCTGACAGAGACCTAATATCCAGTATATATAAAGAACTAAAGAAGCTGAAAAGCAGCAAACCAAGTATTCCAATTAAAAAATGGGGAACAGAGCTAAACCGAGAATTCTCGATAGAGAAATATGGAATGACAGAGAAACACTTAAATAAATACTCAACCCCATTAGTTATCAGGGAAATGCAAATCAAAAATGACCCTGAGATTTCACCTTACACCCATAAGAATGGCCGAGATCAAAATCTCAAGTGAAAACACATGCTGAGAGGTTGTGGAAAAGGAAAACCCTCCTCTACCGCTGGTGGGAATGTAAACTTGTACAACCACTCTGGAAATCAATCTGGTGCATTCTCAGACAAATAGGAATAGCGCTTCCTCCAGATCTAGCCTTACCACTCCTAGGCATATATCCAAAAGTGGCTCAAGTACTAAAGTCAAGGACATTTGCTCAACTGTGTTTGTAGCAGCTTTATTTGTAATAACCAGAGCTGGATACAACTCAGATGCCCCTCAACTGAAAAATGGATACAGAAATTGTGGTACATCTACACAACGGAATATTACTCAGCAAGGAAAAACAAGGAAATCATGAAATATGCAGGTAAATGGTGGGACCTGGAAAAGATCATCCTGAGTGAGCTGTCCCAGAAACAGAAAGACACACATGGTATATACTCACTCATATAGTCATATAATATAGGATAAACCTACTAAGATTTGTACATCTAAAGAAACAAATCAAGAGGGAGGACTCTGACTAAAATGCTCAATCCCCATCCCAAAAGGCAAAGAGGATGGACATCAGAAGAAGAAGAAAACAGGAAACAAGTTAGGAACCTGTCACAGAGTGCCTCTGAAAGGCTCTGTCCTGCAGACTATCAAAGCAGATGCTGAGACTTATGGCCAACTGTTGGGCAGAGTGCATGGAATCTTATGAAAAAAGTGGATAAATAGTAAGATCTGGAGAGGACAAGAACTTCACAAGGAGAGCAACAGAACCAGAAAATTTGAATACAGGGGTCTTTCCTGAGACTCATACTCCAATTAAGCACCATGCATGGAGATAACCTATAACCCCTGCACAGATGTAGCCCCTGGCAGTTTAGTGTCCAAGTGGGTTCCATAGTAATGGGAAGAGGGACTGCCTCTGACATAAACTGATTGGCCTGCTCTTTGATCACCTCCTCCTGAGGGGGGAAGCAGCATTACCGCGCCACAGAAGATGGCAATGAAGCCACTTCTGATGAGATCTGATAGACTAAGATCAGAAGGAAGGAGAGGGGGACCTCACTATCAGTGGACTTGGGGGGGGGCATGGGTGAAAAAGGGGGAGCTAAGGTGGGATCAGGAGGGGAGGAGGGAGGGGCTTATGGGAGGATACAAAGTGAATAAAGTGTAAAAAAATAAGCCAAACACAGAAAAAAGTGTTCATGGTAGGTACAGAGCAATAATAATTAATGTCATGTGTAAACAACGTCCATGCCATAGGTTATATGGCCAGACAGTTATTTGTATTTCTATGCATTAAGAGATCTTTAACTATCTCTGGATTCACAAGTTCATCTAAAGTTTAAAACAATAATTTCTAGATGCCCTAATTCAGAATGAGACCCACTGACCCAAAGGAATGTTTACTTTGGTACAATAAATCTGTGTCAAGCCTAACCTCTCTCTGGGGAGATGTATGTACTTGGCATTTGGAGCCTCACAGAGGTTTTCATTGTAGCTATAAATTTCTATCAACTTTCTAACTTGTTAACTTCAATCATTTAAATCAAAACAGGACATGTAGAAAATCATCATCAGGCACTATGAAATCATTAATTCATCTCAACAGCAATAAGTCTTCATAAAGATCCTGCAGGAGATCTCCTCAACCAGGACAGGTAAATACCCAAGGATTGATAGCAGTGAAGCCTCTTTAACATCATGCCAGAGTTTTGAGAGATAGAGTAAAAGCAGCACAGACAAACGGCGTGTCAGTTACAGGAAGAAAATCTAGAGGCACAATCGCTGCCTCAGATTTACCTCTAGTGTAGTCTTGGGAAATAGAAAACCTATGTGGCCTTCCAGAAATCCCAGATGTCTCCTGAATCCCTTTCCCTGAAAGGGAAATTGTGGTCAATGAATTAACACCCATAAAAGAGTTTAGGGGCAGCAAGATAATTCATATGTTAAAGACACTTTCCACCAAGCCTGATGTCAAACCTGAGTTTGAACCTCACAAACAAAATGGAAAAAAGAGTCAGGTCTAAATTGTCCTCTGACCTCCACAATATGCCGCGTCACATGTGCACCTGTAAATATGCACACACAGACACACTACTGCACACACAGACACACTACTGCACACACAAACACACTACTGCACGCTCACAGACACACTACTGCACGCTCACAGACACACTACTGCACACACAGACACACAATGCACACACAGACACACTACTGCACACACAGACACATTACTGCACACACAGACACACTACTGCACACTCACATGCAAGCAGACAAATGTAAAAAAAAAACCTAAAATGTAATAAAAATTCAAAATGTTTATGGAAAGTAAAAGAATAAGCAGCAGATATGGGCACCACGAAGGAAGGAAGGGAAGAAGGAAGGAGGTAAGGAAGAAAGATAGGAAGGAAAGAAGAAAAAAAAGAAGGAAGGAAGGAAGGAAGGCAAGTAATATATAATCAAGAAAAGCCAAGAACATACCCTTTCCTAGAGCCTCCAAATTGAGATAAAGTTTTCCACAACCATTGCTATGTTGGATATCAGAACTCCAAAAATGTAAAATGAAAAATCTTTTATATTGAAGCAGCAGAGTTTGTAGTCCTGTGTTAGAGAAGGAACACAAAGATAATACTGAGTTATTTTTTGCATTTTCATATAAAGGTTGGGTTGGCTCTTTGTTCACCTCCACCTGAGGGAGGAGCAGCCTTACCAGTTCAGAGGAAGACAAAGAAGCCAGTCCTCAAGAGACCTGATAAATTAGGATCAGATGGAAGGGGAAGAGAACCTCCCCTATCATTGTACTGGGAAAGGGGCATAGGAGAAGACGAGGGAGGAAGGGTGGGATTTGGAAGGGCAGGGGAGGAAGCTACAGCTGAGATACAAAGTGAATAAACTGTAATTAATACAAAAAATTTAGGGAAGACAAAAGAATCGCTGAATCCATAATTTAATATAGGACTCTTGAATTTTTTCATCATGTTTTCAGTCACACCTGCTATCACGCAGAAGGGGAAGTTTGCAGGCCCAGGGCTGTGTGTGATGCAGGCAGCTGGTGAGACTCTCAAGGAGGTTTGTGTTGGAGGCTGAAGCACTGTGGGAGGAGTACTAACACTCTGCATACAGAAATAAACTGCCAGGTCTTCATCCTGCACACTGCTGATGGTGAGAGTGAAATCTGTCCCAGATCCACTGCCTGTGAAGCGATCAGGGACCCCAGTGTACCGAGTGGATGCCCAGTAGATCAGCAGCTTAGGGGATTTCCCTGGCTTTTGCTGGTACCAGGACAAGTAGTTCTTTTGGTTGCTGCTGTAATAAAGGCTCTGACTGGACCTGCAGCTGATGGAGACCTTCTCTCCTGCTGACACAGCCAGGGAGGATGGAGACTGGGTCATCACAATGTCTGCACAGGCACCTGCAATCAGGAACACACAATGAACATGAATATAGACACAAACACAAATTATAAAACAGTTGAAATTTATCACTAGTTACTTTGTACTACTATCTTATCAGAGTATTATTATATAAGAAATACTGAGCCTAACACACTCAAATTTCTGTTCTAAAAAGAAGTGACTCTGTAAAGATTATAATAATTTTACTTTCTTACCAGACACCCAAAGCAGCAGGGATATGAGGACCTGGGTCTGTGACTTCATCTTGCTCCCCCTGCTGTCTGATGCAGTTCAGTTCTCCGCAAAGGCTGGTTTATAAATTCTCAGCAGCTGGGCTGCGCTGTAGGGGCCCATGCAAAGCAGTCAGCAAATACAAAAGCAAATGCCTGTACAGTGTCTGTGAGTGTAGCTGGTTTCAATCAACAGTCAAAAATAGTATTAGGGGATGCATGAGCAATCACTGAAAAAGATTGCCTTATAGCTCTCAAACAGAAAAGTAGTAGGTGCTCTAACAGCAGATCTGGGTTAATTTAAAATCCAAGACATTTAAATCAACTGACTTCTGTAGAGGTATTAGTAGAGGCATCTCAGATTGACAGTTTTTGGGAAATGATAGGATATTTAAAAAAAAAATCACAACAACAACAACAGAAACAGAGTAAGAAAACATGCCATAAAAGAAAGAAGAAAACAGAAGAAAAAAATGAAAGGAAGAAAGAGAATTGAGGCTAAATGTGTTCAATAATACTCATCTCCCAAACCATTATTATACTGAAGACAGAGAGTAGGGCCTTAGACATTTGACCTCCAGTTTCTTAGATAAACTAGGGACTAAGATGCAAAGAACATTCCAGAATTAACTCTGTGATATCCTGGTGGACATTAATTTAAGACTGAGATCAGCAGAACTTGAATCTCAAATGAAAGGAAATCCAGCAAAACTATCAAGTATCTTCCCCACAGCTTTAGGAAATTGAAAGAGAGGTCTAAATCTGGAGATATGAAAAAGGAAAAAAAATAGATTTTTCATGAAGTCATTGCTATAGACCAACACTGCCATGAGTTTTTATTCAGGAAATAAAAATGCTTCTGTAATTTAGAAATTAGCTGTAGTGAAACTGGATTAAGATGGTCTTCTGACTTCCTGAACATTCGGTCTCTTTAGAAGGGGACTCAGCCACCCTAATTTATATAATAATTTTATAAGAACCAATAGAACAGTGCATCAGCGATTGTTGCTATACAAATGGTGAAAAAGGAAAGTTTGTAAATGTATAAAAAAATTAATAGCAATAAGAGAAATCACAGAGTCTGCCAGGACTTCATATTATGGAACTCTGACAATATATTTAAGAAGTAAATTGTAAAGCCAGAATTATGTGTAAAATATAAAAGAAAAACAAATGAATCAAATATCATGACAAGGAGTGGAGATCCACATCTGTACTCCCAGAACTGGAGAGACAAAAGCAGGAGACTCATGATTTTGAGGCCATCCTCAAGAACATACCAACTTCTGGGCCAATCTAATCTATACGTAGAGGCAATTTCTCAAAAACGTGTATCATTAAGCACCTGGTTACAATGCAGCTCATGGCATTATCTACCCCACACAAATTATTTGTCTCATGTTAATGTTTCACCATTAAGCCACAAATAATATTGAAAAATAAATAATCATTTATGCAATAAGCATTTCCTTCTATTTTGAATTAAATATATAATTTTATACATCTACTTCTCAGGTATAAAATGTTAAATAATTTCTGATAAGCACATGCAGATCTCCTCTGTAAACCGCTAACACAACATCCTATGAGAGAGGTAGACTGTATTCAGATACAGGAAGGTCCTAATCTCAAGGTCAAGAATATGACAGACAAGGAGCTCTGCTCCTGTCAGTGTCTAAGACGTTGTCATATGCCTTTGATCTTCACTGAAATTTACACTTCTCTTTGTGAACAGCAGCAGTGAGCTCAGACTCTGCTCTCATGAGGTTAACAGCTGCTCTATCAGATTGGAAAAATGGAGACAGGGATCTTACAAATCCAAAGATTCCATGGGCTTCTCACAGTATGCCAGGGGAGAGTATGCAGTCTAAAGAGATAAAAGTTTCAAAGTATATTATAAATAATATAAAAGGCCCAACAGTCTTTATTTATTTATCAAGTTTTCACAGTATGTCTTGGTGCATTGGATTCTATTATCATTGATTAGAGATGGACTATAAACCTGCTGGCTTAACACAATACTGATCAGTATGATTTCACCCTTGTAATCAGAAAGTCTGAAGTTGATGTCCTTCAGCTCCCTGGACACAGCACCTTCTTTCATGGACACCACTGTGGATGGAGAACCAGGGAATATCAGTCTCAGATGCAAATTATCCTGAGACAGTACAAGGCTGAACTTGGCTTTTCTGTTCCAGCTTTTAGAATCTTTTATTCTCTGGATGAGTGGCTATGACTACCCCAAAGTATCAGTAACTCAGATAAAAAATTGACATAGTATTCTTAGTTAAAATCGGCAGCATGGTACCGAGGATATAGAAGTTTATTCCTGCATTCCAGAAATAGGAGGTCATTATACAGAGTGACAGCCATAGACAAAAACTGTTCTGCATAGTGATTCCTCAAGATTTAGTTATACCACTCCTAGGCATATATTCAAAAGATGCTCAAGTACACAACTAGGACATTTGCTCAACCATGTTTGTAGCAACTTTATTTGTTCTGTCTTTATTTCCAGACAGAACCTGGAAACAACCCAGATATCCCTCAGTTGAGGAATGGATACAGAAATTGTGGTACTTTTACACAATGGAATACTACTCAGCAATTTAAAACAAGGAAATCATGAAATTTGCAGGCATATTGTGAGACCTAGAAATGATCATCCTGAGTAAGGTATCCCAAAAGCAGAAAGACACACCTCATATATACTCACTTATATAGACCTATAAGATAGGATAAATATACTGAAATCTATACACCAAGAAGATGAAAAAGAAAGAGGACCCTGAGTAAGATGACTAATCGTCACTTAGAAAGACAATTGGGATGGACATTGGATGTAGGAGAAAACAAGTAACTGGACAGGAACATACTGCAGAGGGCCACTGAAAGACTCTCCTTAGCAGTATATCAAAGCAGATATTAAGACTCATAACCAAACCTTTGGCAGAGTGCAGGGAATCATATGAAAAAAGGGGGACATGGAGAGACATGGAGAGAACAGGAGCTCCACAAGGACCAAATATATCAGGGCACCGGAGTCTTCTATGAGACTGTTTCTCCAGTCAAGGACCATGTATGGATATAACCTAGAACCCCTGCTCAGATGTAGCCCATGATAGCTCTGTATCCAAGTGGGTTCTCTGGTAAGGGGAACAGGGAATTTCTGACAAGAATTCAATGGCTAGCTCTTCACCACCGCCCCAGATCCACCAAGGGAGAATCAGCCTTGCTAAGCCACAGAAGAGGACATTGCAGCCAGTCTGGAGAGACCTGTTAAGCTAGGTTCAGATGGAAGGAGAAGAGGTCCTCCCCTATCAGTGGACTTGGAAAGGGGTAGGAAGGGGATGAGAGAGGGAGGGTGGGATTGGGGGGATTGAGGGAGGGGGCTACCCCTTGGATACAAAGTAAATAACCTGTGATTAATATTAAAAAATATAAATTATATAAAAATTGTTCTGCTTTAGGCTCCTAGAGCCCACAAGTACTGCTTCTCTCAGAAGAGCCTGCACAGATTGTCTGAGTCAGTAGGGGAGGATGAGGTTAGAGAACTCAAACCATCCTGTCAAAGCTGAGTGTTCTTTGACACGTGTCTCTAGATGTACTAAAGAGAAACCCATTAGTGACCCTTCAGGTTCAACAGCTGAGGACAGCATCCTGGTAGACAAAGAGAGATGACGTGAGGGTCTTCTTTATGACATTTTTATGTCTGTGACTATTTTGGCTGGATGCGTATCTGTACATGATGTATGTATCTGGTGCCAGAGTTATGGATGGTTGTCACCTACCATGTCTGCCGGGAACTGAACAATTAGACAAATCTCTCTCCAACAATGGCCTCTGAGTAAATAGACGTGTTGGAGAATGAGGGAAATCTATGAAAAAATAAAGACCCATGTGCTGCTGAAGCCTCTGACTTAGGAAGAGAAGGACACTGGGAAGAGGGGGATGTGTAAATGATTCCTAAAGGCTCCTTGTGAGTTGTAAAGCAATGCTTCTTTGAAACTAAGATAGAAAGGAAATTAGTTACACATGAACATAGCTTCATTTGACACAACTAGTAAGAGAAAATCATGGGAACAAGTCAGTGTTTGTAATTAATCTTACCCTCCTCTCTTCTTAGTTCAAGGTTCAGTGGGTATTTCATAATGATGCAAAATCCTATCTTCCTCTCTGTCTTGACTGGAGAGCTGGCAAGCTTTCATTTCCTGAAGAACCACATCAGTGAAAACACCACTTTCAGGTTTATAGGGATGGGCCCTAATCTCTCTTTTTGTTGTGATAAACTACACTGAACAAAGCAAGTCAGGAAATTATGTTCCTTTTTGGGCTCATGGTTTGTCTGGAAACACAGTTCAAGCATACACCCTACTATACTGTGGAAGGCAAACTGGAAGGAGCACGCAGCAGCTGCTCACATTACATACACAACTGAGAAGTAGAGTGCAGAATGCTAGAGCTCAGGCCACTTTCTCCATTTTATGGAGGTCAATATCCACATGCTGGGAACAGTCTTGCCCAGAGTTCTGTGCTACAGTGTAGTAGAAGGACTCTTCGAGAATGTGAGTTTCTGCTCTGCCTCTCTGACCCAGTCACTTTCCCCAAGTTAGGCTATGGGAAGTGAGCAATTAATCATATGGACTTTGAGGAACAATCCAGATCCACAGGTTGTAGTTTAAGAGAAACACACTGACATCTCCTAATACACTTGAACTGTAAATAACGTGTCACATGACCATCTGTAAGTGAATGCCTCCTGAGTAGTAAATAGCTTTACATAATATTTATGTCTGTGTTCTCATCCTCAATTCCCACCCAAACATGCCTCATTAATGATACCCATGAGGACACTGCAGAAGAGGGAAGTGATTGATAGAAAAGAACATTACCTCAGATTTGACTGGGATTTATGTTCAATGTTTATCTTATGTGGAATAATGGCGACTCCACCGAGAGTATAAAAGTTCACTGTCACCAGTTTCCCCTTGATTCATAGTGAGACAGTGCTGGTTTATCTGATTCTCTGTTCCCTGTCCAGGCTGTGA